GGGGCGCGTCAAGCGGCGGTCGGGGGCGGGGCCCGAGAGCACGGAGGTAGGGCGTTGCGGGCGGTGTTTACAGCCCCGCACATGCAGCTTCCGGTTGACGTTGGGTCTCCAGCGTGCTGGCGCTGAATGGATCTGACCGGCACTGGCGTCGGGGTGAGGCCAGGCCCGTAGCCTGGCTTCGCCACCACGAGCCGAATGACCTTGGCCCGGTTCCTTGCGCTCCTTGGGCCCAGGTTTTGTTTATTGAGCAACTATTTTTTGGGTCCTTACCCTCTGTGGGGCAGTGAGCTGGCCTGAGGGGCGGGGGACAGCGGAGACCAAGATCGGGCTTGGTCACCGCCCGCGGGGTGGTTTGTTAAAAATCCCGAGAATAGATGTACGACTGCTGGGGTGGAAAATGCCCAAAGGGAGCAGTCGCAGGCCATGATGGTGGGTCGAAGGCTGCTGAAGGGTCTTAATGGATCTGATACCATGTGGGTCGGCTGTTAAGCCTTGACCAGGAATTAATGGCGCAACCGTCCCGAACTGGGGGGCCCAACCTGTGGTGCTCTCCAGGGACCCCTTCCTGGACCCCTCATCCCTACCGGGGACTCTCCCATTAGCTGGCAGGGAGGAAAATGGGGTGCTGGCCAGGGCCTGAAACGTCTGGGGATTTCGGGCTAGGCAAGGTGAGCCAGTTACGGAGGCAAGGGTGATGCCTTGGAGGCAAAGGGTGGGGAAGAAAGGAGCCGGGTGCAACCTGACGGCTAAGCAGCTCTGAAGAGCTCGGATTGGCGCCTAGGAGACAGTGTGGGAGCTTCAGCCCTGGCAGACCCCATTCGTCCACCGAGGAAGTACAGTTTCGGGATCACTCGGTTTCTGACAAACCCTGGTGGCACCGAGAGATTTTGCTTTTGCTAAGAATAGCCCCTCGTTGCAAAACATCGTATACGTGAATTACCGTGGGCAAAGCGCTCAGCACTGGGCAGACACAATAAGAGGCAGCTCCGAATATGATTAGTGTTATCACTAGCGTTGTACCGGCAACAGCATAGGGGAAGTTGGTTAGGATTCCAGGCCAGACAGTCCTAGGTGTCAGTCTTAATCCCCCCACTACTTCTGCTATGAGCCTCAGTTTCCTCATTTGTTGAACCCAAGGTAAGAATGCCAAGCTGTGCCAGGGACGCTGTGGGGGATTATGCCTGTGAAGTGCTTAGGCTGGGCTTGGTGCTCATTGCACCCGGTTGCTCCATCTGGATCCCTCTGGGAAGCCAGGGCTTCATTTTACAGATGAGAAAACCAAAGCTGGACTCCAGACCTCCTTACCTCTCCCCAGGGTTCAAGGCCAGTGGAGAAGAGTGGTCACCCCCAGGCCAGCAGGATGTGTTTCTGGCAAAGGAGGGTGGGTGCCATCCTGGCAGGGCCCACTGGGGGCTTGTCCTGCTCAGGGAGGCAAGAAGTGCCTTCACCCCTCCCCCACCCTCATTCAGGTACCACTCACGTACCTGCTCAGGCTTGTCCAGCCCAGAATCAACTCTCCCAGGCAGGCAGGCAGGCAGGCAGGTGGGGTGGTGCAGATGGGACTGGCAGGGCAAAGGTCACCCTGCTGGCCCGCAGTCCCCCCCACCCCAGCTTGTTATCCCAGGGGCAGCAGGGAAGGAAAAAACAACCTTGTTTTCATCCAGGATCAGCCTGCTGGAGTGGACTTTGGATTTCTGAGCAGGCTTGGCTGGGGCCTGACATCTGGGGCCAGTTGATGGGGGAGGGAGGGGTCATTTCAGCCTGGCCCTCATCTTACCTGAGACCTGGAGAGGTTGAGGGCATTGCGTAGTTCCCACAGCCAGTCCATGGGGGACTGGGGGCCTGGCCTGCTCTGGCCTCCTTCTCTCTACCCCTTTTCTTTCTTTCTTGCACTCCATGGATGTTTAAAAAATACCCACTTCGTTCCAGGCTTTGGGAGCTCCAGAATGAATACCCCAGGGTCCTCCCTCCTCAGAAGGCTTGAGAAGTCTAGATCACGGGGACGAAGGCCAGGAGGCCATGAGCCGTTTCCGGGTTCTGCCTTATGTTTCAAAGGACCCAACACTGGCTGATGAGGGGCCTTGTGACCTGACTCCTGCCTCCCTCTTGACCTCTACTCCTGTACTCTCCACTCAATTGTAGACACACTGGCCTTTGAGCCCCTGGACCACATTCACCTGCTTCCTGCCTCAGGGCCTTTGCACATGCTGTTCCCGCTGCTTGGAACCTGGACTGGCCTCCTCCTTATCCTTTGCTTGGTTACTTGTATTTCAAGTTCTATCTGAAATGTCTCCTCTTCAGAGAAGCCTTCCCTGACTCCCCTAATCAATAGAAGATCTCCCTGATTATTTCAATCCATTTCTCCACAGAACTTACCCATGTGGTAATTATACACTATTAACCTTTTTAGAGGAACCCTGGTGGCACAATGGTGAAGCACTCAGCTGCTAACCAAATGGTTGTCAGTTCAAACTGGGAGAAAGATGCGGCAGTCTGCTTATGTAAAGATTGACAGCCTTGGGAACCCTATGAGGCAGTTCTACTCTGTCCTATAGGGTCACTACGAGTTGGGATCAACTCGACAGCAATGTGTTTGGTTTGGTTTAGTAACCTTTTTAGTGTCTTTCACCACTAGCCTGCAAGCTCTCTATCTGGCTGGTTCCATCATCTGATCACAGCTACCTGGTCTATCACCTGTCACGTAGTAGCTGCATGATAAATACTGGTTGAATAAATAAAGGAATCACCCAGGATGTTGGTTGTGGAGCTAGCACTAAATCAGAAGAGGCCTGGCTCCCAGCTGTGCATGGATAATCACAGAAAAAATAACGCTTTAGGGGTTTTCAGGACGTTTTGAGTCCAAAGGTCTATTAAATGGAATGTTTAATTAATCAAGCATCCAGCTGTGAAAATGACAGCCATGGCCCAAGATGCAGAGGATCCAACACATGCCCTTGGTGTTACTTTCCAGGGGTGGGTGTGGGCGCAGCGTGTTCTCAGCACTCCCCTAGTCAAGCTCAGTAAATTGAATGCAGCGTTGATATGTGCGTGTGTGTTACGTGATTCAACAGATGGAAGTCTAGAATAAGGGAAGAAAGATCACATGGTAGGGGACAAAAGGGAGGTCGTCAGGCCTAACCAGGGCAAGAGACATGAAATCTGGAGCATTTGAGCATTTGCATCAGTGGGGAGGGAGAACAGTGTGGTGGTAAGAGCAGTGGATTGGTTCAAATTCCAGCTCTGTCACTTACCTGCTATGGGACCTCGAAGGAGGTACTTTGCCTCTTCTGTAAACTGATGATGAAAATAGAACTTACGTCAGAGAACTGTTTTTAGGTGCCATCCAGGTGATGCAGACTTACAGTGACCCCATGGGACAGAGTAGAACTGCCCCATAGGGTTTTCTAGGCTGTAATCTTTATAGGAGCAGATCGTCAGGTCTTTCTCCACAGAACCAAACCTTTGGTTTGAAGCTCCAACCCTCTGGTTAGCAGCCAAGCACTTAACCGTTGCACCACCAGGGCTCCTTCATCAGAGAACTGAGTGGGAGAATATATGGAAAGCCCTCAGCATGAAGCCTAGCACCTAGTAGGTGCTCAGTAAGTGGAGAGCTTGGTTGTGGTTAGGGAGTTGACTCAAGCTCCCTCGAGACCCAAACCCTCCCTCATATTTGCACAAGTCCCCCAACGCCTTTATTCTTCATTTGGCTTCTCAGGTCCCCTGACAACAGGACATTTGTGTCCTGGATGCAGGCCCTTGGAAAGGTATATGGCTCATTTTAATAAGGATTCTGGTGAGTTCACCATCTGCCCTCCCTAGCTGCTTTCTTGGTACAACAGGCTTGAGTACCAGTAGCCTGTGCATTGGGAAGTGACTTTCCTCTCTAAACCCCAGTTCATCACCTGTAAAGCGGGTAAAAAACAGACCCCAGTGTGGCCTGAGTATAGAGTTGTGGGTGAGTCAAAGCCAGGAAAGTACCTTACAAACTATGAGGTTTATATCCTGACCCAGATTCTTGCAAACTTGCCTCCAGCACCTGACATGTAGCCCTCCCTCCTTTGTTCCTCAGTTTCCCTATCTGTAAAACGAGGAGAAGTCTACTGTCTTCCATGGGGCCTGTAAAATTATGTCTTCAAAGTAACTGTTCAGGACGTGGGACCAGAGAGATGCCTTGAGTTCTGGCTAAGGCCAAAGCAGGCGCTTCACTTCCTATCCGAGCAACCTCCCGGTGAGCTTTTTCTGGGTGGCAGGTAAAGGTATGCCCTCTGCTGGCTGGGGCAGGAGATAGGCCCTGGGAAGTGGGGAGAACCATGGTGGCTCAGGGAGATATGGCAGAGAGGGAATAAATGGAAGGCATTGGGTCCCTAGAAGGTCTATATCCGAACACATTAAGAGGAGACTAAAGAGTTAAGATGTTAGTGCTGCGTTTAGAATGTAGAGCAAGGACAATTTGCGGAGCGCTGATGGTAACTCCCCTGTGGAATTAGGCCCATTTGGTTTGTCCCTCAGCGCTTGTCAACAACTTCTCAGGACTGGCCTGCGAGCATCTTGGGAATTGTAGTCCGCAGGCGGGGCCTCGCGCCGCAACCCCGCGCCCTCAGCAGCATCAGGACTCCATTTCCCGACGTGCCTCGGGCCCTGGAGGCGGAGGCCGCCGTGGCTGAGCCGGGGGTGGGGGCTAGGAGGCCGAGGCGCCGCGGCGGCCGTGGGCGAGCTTCCGTGCGGCCTGCTCCAGGACATGTCCGCGTGAGGACCAGCCGCCGCCGCTGCCTTCTCCGGCCCCGGCCGCGCGCGCACCATGGGCTCCATTCTGAGCCGCCGTATCGCGGGCGTGGAGGACATCGACATCCAGGCGAACTCGGCCTACCGATACCCCCCGAAGTCCGGTAAGCGCGGCCCAGCCCCCTCGCCGGGCGCGAGGAGGAGGCGCGGTGGAATGCAGGCCCGGGCGGCAGGACGCTGGATCCTTCTGCGGAGGGTGCAAGGGTATGGGGGAACTCTGCCCGGAGCCCGGGACCCCACTGCCGCCCTCCTGCCGGGAAGCGCCTGCCCCCGCGCCGTCCCTCGGCCTGGACCCCTGGAGCCCGTGGGGGCATGAACCCGGGAACCCCCTAAGCCAACCCGTTGTGGGTCCTGGGCTGACTAGCCCGCAGTCACACCGGTGCTGCCACTTCCTGGCCGGGTGACCTTGGGTCAGTCACTTCACCCTCTCGCCTGTACAGGGGGTAGCTACTCGTTCCAAACCCACAGGGCCGGGGTGAGGGTCTGGGGCCGCACGCTGCCTGACACCTCGCATGTGCTTATAAAGTATCAATTGTCAGAAGGGCTGACATCAGCACCATCTTTGGCTTTCGCTCTTTGGTGGCTGAGTGTGTGGACTGGGCCAGTGGGTCTGGACGCTTTCCATCCCATCTGGGCAGAGGCCGAACTCGCCTGCGACCTCCTGGGGTGGTGTTGGCCAGGAGAGTGGGGCTGGGCCCAAGGTGGTGACTGTGATTGATGCGAGGAGAGGGTAGGGGTCCTTGCAAAGAGGAGGGGACCTTCAGCTAAGCCGGAGAACAAGGCCATGGTTGGAGGGGGCTTTCTGGGTTCTCTCTGTTTTATGGTTGAGGGACCTGACGCCACCGTTTTCCAAGGTCTCAGCTGGGTAGCAGCTCACCTGGGACCAGGTGTCCGACTCCCAGGCTCCAGGTGAGGCTTGTTCTGCTGCCTCTGTTGATGAGCGTGGCCTGACTGAACTTTTAGCTGTGATTGTTCACTCTTGGTTGTTTGTGGTGGAAAGGAGAGAGGACTTGGATGATGCGGTGGGGACTTTCCAGTTAGGTACCTCGGGCCCTGCCTTCTTCGGGGTGTGAGCTGATGTCGGTGTGTCCTGAGCCTCACAGTTGGCATCATCGGGCGCCAGGGTTCCTCTGAGTGTGGTCCAGTACTGCCTGCGCCCACCTGGTGGGGAAACTTGTAAAACATGCGTTCCTCAGACCCTGCCTCAGACCCACGAGGCCTCGTTGTTGTTCATTGCCGTCGAGTTGGCCCTGATTCATGGCAACCCGATGTATGCAGCGTAGAGTTGCTCCATTGGGGTTTACTGCTCAGCTGCCAACCGAAAGAAAGGTTGGCAGTTTGAACCCACCAGCCACTCAGGAGAAAGATGTGGCAGTCTGCTTTTGTAAAGGTTGCTGTGTTGTTGTTAGGTGCTGTCGAGTTGGTTCCGACTCATAGAGACCCTATAGGACAAAGCAGAACTGCCCCATAGGGTTTCCAAGGAGTGGCTGGTGGATTTGAACTGCCAACTTTTTGGTTAGCAGCTGAGCTCTTAACCTCTACACCATCAGGGCTCCCTTGGAAACCCTATGGGGCATTTCCAGTATTCTGTCCTGTAGGGCCACTATGAGTTGAAATCAACTTGATGGCAATGGGTTTATTTGTTTTTAAAATTCACGGGAGCAAATTGCCAGGCCTTTCTTCGGTGGAGCTGCTGGTGGTGGGTTTGAACAGCCAACCTTTGGATTAGCAGCTGATCACAAACCACTTGTGCCACACAGGCTCCTTTGTTCAGGCCTAGGAACCTGCATTTTATACCTATTTCCCTAGGTGGGTCTGATGTCCCCTCAAGTTTGAGAACCGCTCTGCCCAGATTTTGGAAGGTGAAAGAAGGGGGGTTACTGGCATTAAGAATTGTGGGGGTTAGCACAGTTCGGGGGCAGTAGGAAGGGGATGGAGTCAGCTGGGAAAAAGGCACTGTTGCCTACCACGCAGGAGGTCTCCATGCCTGCTTGTGTGCTAGGGCCAGCGACAGGGCCGCCGGCCTGGTGTGGGGCTGTAGGCCGGCAGTGTCCCTTTGAGGGTCTGTGGGCTGATACCCCTGGGCCTGATGGAATGGTCGTTTAACGCCATCCTCTTCTGTCTCCAATGTTCATCCAGCCTGTTTTCAGCTGAGTGACTTTGAGCAAGTTAGTTAACCCCCTGGGCTACAGTTTCCTCATCTGTAAAATGGGCTAAGTTTAACAGTGCGCAGAACAGTGGCTGGCATGTAATAAGCGCTCCCCAAATGTTAGCTGCTGTAATTGCTTAAAAAGGAAGATAGGTGACCAGCTCTGACCCTGATAGCAGTTAGCAGTGGCATGGCAGATATACCAAGAAGGTATAAGCTTAATGTGGCACCTCCTGTCACCTGGGACCAGAGTGAGGTTAATGCTCCTTCACTTGGGAGCTTGGACAGAATAATGTATACATGGCATTTACAGCACTGCTTTTGGATCCGGCCATGGCAGACGTGGTTAATCAATCATGATACTCTTTCTCACCAAGCCTGGACCTGGTTTCAGAATCCAGTCAGCCACTACTAATCGATCGGGACTGGCACCAGAGGTGAAACCCATTGGCCACCTTGGTGATGCTGCCAGCGATAGCAGTTCTCTTTTGGGCCGTCCAGTCCAAAGGCTGTCCTCTCTGGTGAATATTATTTCCATCTGCTTCCTCGTCCTTCTGGCCACCTTTCACTCGTGTGCCTGTCAAGGTTCATCTGTCCTGGTCCCTAGCATTGTTTGAGGGCCTGAGGATCCTGGTTCTGTGCCACGTAGTCCTCTGTCTCCCCAGATCCCCCAGGAGAACTCTGTAAGGTCGGGGGGGGGGGCAGTGAGAGGCAGAAGGGACCTTCACAGTTCAAAAGCCAAACTCATAGCGCCCCTGTAGGACAGAGTAGAACTGCACCATAGGGTTTCCAAGGCTGTAAATCTTTACAGAAGCAGAGACTGCCACATCTTTCTCGCTCAGAGCCACTAGTGGTTTCAAACGCTGACCTTTCGCTTGACAGCTGAGCGCTTTAACCACTGTGTCACTAGGACTCCTTAAAGATACCTTAGTAGTCAGTATATAGTGTGTTTCCTCAAGAGTGGACTGGGGACCGTGGGGTGTCTGAGATGATTTTTTAGGGGATGCTGATACATTCTTTTTTCTTTCTATTGTAGTTTAGGTGAAACTTTACATAGCCCATTAGTTTCGCATTAAATAATCATAAATTGTTTTGTGACATCGGTTGCCAGCCCCACGACTGCTGTAGTATCCAGCTCGAATTTAAGAACATTTGCTTTGTTTTCATTGCATTTATTTCTTTCACATTTAACAGCTTTATTGAGGTATAATTTACCTGCTGTATAATTCATTGGTTGTAAATGCAGTTTAATGATTTTTAGTAAATTTATAGAATTATGCAGCCAACACCACAGTCCGCTGGTAGACATTCCCATCTCCCCAGAACATTTCCTTGGGCCTATTTGCAGTGAGTCCCTACCCCATCACTGATCTGCTTTCTGACTTTAAAATTTGCCTTTTCTGGGTATTTCACATAAATGGAATCCTGCAACTTGTGGCCTTTTGTCGTCTGGCTTCTTTCACTTAGTGTAATGTTTTGACATTCATTCATGTTGTAGTAGGTATCAGAATGTCGTCGTATAGACTGACCTCGTCTTGTTCATCCATTCATCTATTGATGGCCATTGTATAGACTGACCTCGTCTTGTTCATCCATTCATCCATTGATGGCCATTGTATAGACTGACGGCGTCTTGTTCATCCATTCGTCCGTTGGTGGACATTCGGGTTGGTTTCGTTCTTTGGCTATTATGAGTAGTGTTGCTGTGAATGTTCCTGTACAAGTCCCCCTCCTCACTTTTTTTTTTTTTTTTAATTGTGCTTTAGGTGAAAGTTTACAGCTCAAGTTAGTTTCTCATACAAACATTTATGCATACATTGTTATGTGACCCTAGTTGCTATCCCTACAGTGTGACCACACATTCCTCCTTTCCACCCCGGATTTACATGTACAAGTTTTTATGTAGACATATGTTTTAATTTCTCTTGGGTGTGTACCTATGATTGCAATTGCTGGGTTATATGGTAACTATATTTGACTTTTTAAGGAACCGTCAGACTGTTTTCCATATGACTGCACCATTTTACATATCCACCATCAGTGTACGAGGGTTCTAAATTCTCCACATCCTGGCCAACATGTGTTATTGTTGTCTTTTTGACACACGTGGGGTTCCCTTGAGTCAGCGTTGACTAGATGGCAACTGGTTAGTGGGTGTGAAGTGGTATCTCACTGTGGTTTTGGTTTGCATTTCCCTAATGATATTGAGCATCTCTCTCTCTCTCTCTTTTTTTTTTTTTTTTGTGAAATGTCTATTTAAGTCTTTTGCCCAATTTTTAAAAATTGGATTGTTTTCTTAGTATTGAGTTGTAAGACTTCTCTATGTATTCTGGATACAGTTCTTCTATCGACTGTGTGATTTACAGATGTTTTCTCCCAGCCTCTGGTTTGTCTTTTGACTTCCTTAAAGGTGTCTTTTGAAGAGCAAGTTTTTAGTTTTGATGAAGGTCAGTTCATTATTTCTTTTATGGATCATGCTTTTGAAGTCATAACTAAGAAATCTTTGCCTCGCACAAGATCACAAAGATTATCTCCAGGGTTTTTCTCTAGAAGTTTTATAGTTTTAGCTCTTACATTTAGGTTTATGATACACTTTAATTTCTGTGTATGTGTACGGTTTGAGGTAAAGCTCTAAGTTCATTCTTTTGCATCTGGATATTCAGTTATTCCAATATCATTTGTTGAAAAGACTTCCCTTTTCCCATCAGTTGCCTTTGCACTTCCGTCAAAAATCAGTTGACCATAAATGTGAGGGTTTATTTCTGGACTCTGTCTTCTGTGCCCTTGATCTAAATGTCTATCCCAGTGGTTCTCAACTGAGGGTGATTTTTGCATCCCCAGGGGACATTTGGCAGTGTCTGGAGACATATTTCATTGTCACAGCTGGAGGGCAAGTGGTGCTGGCATCTAGCGAGTAGAGGCCACAGGATAACAGGCCCCCCTCCGCCAGCAAAG